ATTACCTTTAGAAACAAATGGCATCAAAAGGCTAGAATGCCCTTTAAAGCTGATCGTAAGTTACTCGGTCACTCCTATAAAATCGCAGATCGGCGGTTTCAAGCTTTGGAGAGGAGGAATTGTACTCCAAAAGGAATTGTACTCAACTCTTCTTCGTTTCCGCTTACATAAGTACGTTTTAACGGCAGACATTACTAAAATGTACCGCCAAATATTTATGCATAAAGAAGACAGAAGCATCCCTCAGAGCATTGGCCATTAAAAGAGACTTGTATGTTGATGACTTATTAACAGGATCAGAAAATTGTGAGTCTCTAGTCTCTAGTCTAAGAAGTGAGGTAATTAAAATATTAAACTCGGCTGGATTCACCTTAACAAAGTGGTTTTCGAACCACCCTAAATTTTTCGACAGTGACTGCACTGGAAAGTCATTAAGCTTTTTTTGTTTTGGATGCCAATTTTAATGATCTGCGAGCCACTAAACGAAACATATTGTCAGTCTCTGCTCGGCTGTTCGATCCTCTTGAATTATTAGCCCCACTAGTCACCAAAGCAAAAATCTTATTGCAAGAGCTTGGATCCAAAAACTAGATTGGGATGAGTCGATTCCATTGCGCCTTGACACTAGCTGGCAGAATTTCAAATCCAACTTACTGCAGCTCTCATCTATTAGCATTTCTCGGTACGTAAACCTAGAGTCGAGTGCTATCTGCCAAATAAATGGCTTCTCCGATGCTTCGATAAGAGCGTACGAATGCTGCATATACATACGAAGCCAATCTATTAGTGGTATCAAATGTATGCTATTTACTGCATAGTCTAGAGTGGCACCGCTGAAGACCAAGCTCTTCCGCGTCTCGAGCTCTCGGCAGCATATCTTGCTAAATTATGGTTACGAGTAGCGCCGATGTTGAGTCGACGATTCGAGAAAATTACATTTTTGGCAGACTCTGAAATCGTGTTGCATTGGATTAAAACACATCTATCCACATTACAAACCTTTGTAGCGAATAGATTGTCCGAAATTACGATTAAATGTACATAGTGTACATTGGCGACATAAGCCAACAAAACAAAATGCCTACTGTGGGAAGGGATCTGACGTCAGGCGAATTACACTTGAGTTTTTTGAAAATTGTTCAGGTGGTTCAACATTCGGAATTTGCGAATGAAATCCAAAAACTGATTAAATGCACCCAGCTACCCGCTAACTTGCAAAAACTTAACCCGTTCTTCCATGAGTGCTCGGATATGTCGCTTCCATTTAAATTAAGCCGAGTAGGAGGTCGCCTATTAAATGCACTTCTCCCATACGATGCCAAATCCCATTATTACTTAATAAAAATTCGCACTTCGTTATCACTTATTTACGGTTCCTGCACTTTCGAAATCACCACGCTGGGGCAAAAGCGTTGATTGCGTTCTTCGAGAACGCATTATGGCTGATTAATGCCAGAGAATCATGCAGTAGAATCGTAAGAAACTGCACACACTGCTTTTATTACAAGTCGAAGTTGCAATCCCAAATAATGGGAATGCCAGTCGAAAGACTTCGAGCGTTACAATCCTTTTTTATATGTGGCCTAGATTTTAGTAGTTCAATATATACAACTTTAAAAATACGCGGTCGACCACCTGTAAAAACATATATAGCAGATTTCGTATGCTTCACTTCAAAAGCAGTACATTAAGAAGTAGTTTCGAACTGATCCACTAATTCTTTTATTTTCGCCCTAAACAGGTTCATTGGTCGCCGAAGGAAGCCACAGAATATATTCAGCGACAACGCAACCAACTTCGTCGGTGTCAACCGCAAGCTGCGCGAGCTGAAGGAGGCGTTTCTAGCGCAAGCATCAGACCTGATGGGACGATGACAACGCTCTACTCACAGCGGAAGACCTCTTAACTCTACTGCCCGAAGTGGAGGCCATTTTGAATTCGCGTCCCCTAGCAGCATTGAGCCAGGACCCCAACGACGCAGAAGCAGTAACTCCTAATCGGTTGTTCTCTGTGAGCACTGCCACCAGCACAAGAGCCAACGGATCCACTTCGCTGCTGCGAGAGATTCAAATTGTTTGCTTTCTCAAGCAACAGTTTTGGCAGCAGTGGTCTGCTCCTGACGGGCCTTCAGGAGCGCAACAAATGGCTGCACCTGAAACGCAACCTTCAGCCCAGCGATCTCGTCCTCGTTCACGAAAGCAACGTATCACTGCAGCAGTGGGTACTAGGACGAGTCGTCGCAACCGCAGAAGGGCAAGACGGCAAAGTACGAATGGCAGACGTGGCAATCAAGGCGGGAACAATTAAGCGCCCTATACATAAACTTGCCTTACCGCCAATCTACGTTGAAGGGTCATGATCATGATCCTGTCAAGGTGGCCGGTGTTGCGTCAAGCGACATCATAAATGCTAAAATTAAAAAAAACTATAAATTACACAGGATCACATTGGAGAGGGGCATATGCAGGCTTTATAGGAACCGCGTTCCAAATTAGACAGTGGGCGTCGCACCGCCCACTTTTAGGTCAAAACCCATATCTTGGGATTTGCTTAACCGATTTAAATTAAATTCTGTACATAATACTCTTCTCATATTTCTATGTTATAGTGCGAAAATGGGCGAAACCGGATTACAACCACGCCTATTTTCCATATAACATCATTTTAAATTCCATCTGATTCTTTCACTTTCCACTATGCAAATCAGTCAACAATGTTTGTATCTTGATAAAACTTTGCGTGAATAATGCGTTTCAAGTATGCCACCTTGTGACTAAAAATTATCTAAATTGAACCAAAACTGTTCAAGCCCCTAGGTACTGAATATGTGGATCCCAGTGCCTATAGTTGACTTTTTACCGAAAATATCGGTCAATGTGTAAGATATATAATTGAAATTCATATAATAAAAAAAATAAATTTAACTCTTGATAATAGTTGCCTTTGTGACAAAAATGGGTTGAATCGGATCAATACTTCCCTTAATATAAAATTTTGCCAACACCTGAAGTAATTTCCCGGGCTTTGATCCTTGCAAGTTGCGAGAGTATAAAATGTTCGGTTACACCCGTACTTAGAACCCCCGTACTTAGAACCCCCTTACTGAAGATAAGAGAATCGCAGTATTTAATAAAGGAATTTGGAATGGGTTGAATGGTTGAATTCCGGCTGGGGGTCACATGGCTCCTAGTTCAATAGCTGGAGATAATCTTCTGTGGAAAAAGGCTCAGAAGAAGGATACAAAGAATAATACTTCTGATAAAATAAATAAGATTATTCCTCAAACATACTTACATTATAACTTATTTTCGCCGTTAGCTTCAGATTTAGGTGATTAAGGTTAAGTGACATATGGAATAAAGAATTCAATTGTATAAAAACAGGAATCAGTCGTATAATTTTACATATAAACACTTTTTGGCACAGGCAATTGGTGTACAGTCGCGCATCCCAATATGATTTTAAGTAATTAATTGAAAATCGTTTACTTTCTTCAATTTTTTTATATAGAGTTCGCTTCTGCAGAAATTTCTTAACAACTCCGTACCATGACTTAAAATATTTCGAGATCTCTGTATACCATAAATGTTTTCAATAAACGTCTAGTGACTATGTTTGTGGTGTGTGTGTGTTTATTGTATAAAACTTATTAGTTCGTAAGCTTCAGTTTTTATACTCGCAACCTGTTGCTACAGAGTATAATAGTTTTGTTCACCTAACGGTTGTTTGCATCACCTAAAACTAATCGAGTTTGATATAGGGTTATATATATATAAATGATCAGGATGAAGAGACGAGTTGAAATCCGGGTGACTGTCTGTCCGTCCGTCCGTCCGTCCGTCCGTCCGTGCAAGCTCTAACTTGAGTAAAAATTGAGATATCTTTATGAAACTTGGTAGACATGTTTCTTGGTACCGTGAGACGGTTGGTATTGCAGATGGGCGTAATCGGACCACTGCCACGCCCACAAAACGCCATTAGTCAAAAACAAATAACTTGCCATAACTAAGCTTCGCAATAAGATACAAGACTGTTATTTGGTACACAGGATCACATTAGGGAGGGGCATCTGCAGTTAAAACTTTTTTTTAAAAAGTGGGCGTGGTCCCGCCTCTAATAGGTTTAATGTGCATATCTCCTAAACCGCTAATGCTATAATAACAAAATTCACTAGAAACAAATGTTTTTAGCACTTCTATTGACGGTGTGAAAATAGTTGAAATCGGGTGGCAACTCCGCCCACTCTCCATATAACGGTACTGTTAAAAACTACTAAAAGCGCGATAAATCCAGCACTAAACACGCCAGAGACATTAAATTTTATCTTTGAGATAGTATAAGATGACTTTAGAGGAACCGCGTTTAAAATTACACAGTGGGCGTGGCACAGCCCACTTTTAGGTGAAAACCCATATCCTCGGATATTCTTAACCGATTTCAACCAAATTCGGTGCGTAGCGTTCTTTTCATGTTTCTATGTCATAGTGCGAAAATGGGCGAAATCGGATTACAACCACGCCTATTTTCCATATGACACCATTTTAAATACCACTTGATTCTTTCACTTTCCACTATGCAAATCAGGCAACAATGATTGTATCGGGATAAAACTTTGCATTAATAATGCGATTAAAGTATGCCACCTTGTGGCTTAAAATTGTCTAAATCGAACCAAAACTGTTCAAGCCCCTAAGTACCAAATATGTGGACCCCAGTGCCTATAGTTGACCTTCTACCGAAAATATCAGTCAATCCACAAAGAAATTTCAAACGAGTATACTATTTGACTTTGCGAGAGTATAAAATGTTCGCTTACATCCGAACTTAGTCCTTCCTTACTTGTTTATATAAATTTTTGAAAATAGTTCTGTGTGTAAAGTTTAAAGTTTTATTTTACCCGGCAAAAGCTACAAGTTTTACTTAGTTATTGCAATGCGGTTAATATATTATTTTGATGTATAGCTACAAGTCTCTCGTTATTTTGTCTAATCTTTTTCTAGGTATTAATTTTAATGCAGTTAATGCTGCATATGAGCCGGTTTTAGTTAAAAAATCGGGTGTGAGCTCTATACCAAGCTTGGTTATCATTCTGGATGGACACTGCTACATATATCGTGAAAATGTTTATACTCTGGCTAAAATTAAAGGTAAGTAGATTAAGTTGTTTTAATATTCAAAATTGCTTGAAATACATTATAAATTACGGCTAGATTTTTATCTTTCAGGTGTTAGATAACGGCTATAGATAGCTACATGAACATACATATGTGTATAAATTAGTCTTTTTGTGTGGACTTATTTTTTTAATTATATTTTAGGTAAGAATTGAGTTAACTTTTCAAAGTATTTATGACTGACCAAACGTGTTTCAGTCAATGTTCCAAATCAAACCAAATACTAAAGTTACAAAACGATATGTTTGCTTATTTAGCAACTGCGGGTGGTGTCGTATTTCGACCAGCAACCTCGAGATCGTTGGCCGTGTAAGCTACACCTTATAATTCGGCCAACAACCTCAAGATCGTTGTTTTCAGTTATCTTATATATGAGTTACTACTTTTGTTAAGCTTTCGAACTTTGCACTTCCAAAACAAAAATTAAGCGAGGAATCTTACTTTATTTATTTATAATACTTGTTGCTTTCTGTGTACTTTGTGCACAGCTTTCGCACAATAAGAAATTTTTTTCAAAATATTGCGAATATTGTATTTCTTAAAAAAGTGTTGTATTTATTCATGAATATCTATTTTGTCACCTCGCATATGCCTCTATGGTAACTAGTATATTCGGGAACGCGTTGCAGAATAATTCATGCAAATATTGAAGAATATAAATCACTCTTGAGAATGCTAGGCTATAAACTATAGCGTCACGATATAGTGTAACTTTGAAACTCGAATTGCAGTATTTTATTGGTTTGGTTATCAAAAATGTTTAGTTTTGCAAATCCGATTTGTTGCTGATTGATTTTTATCTTAGGTTTATTGACATATCTATATGGTAGGCATCATTACTTGAATGACAACAAAATGTTAACCAATTTTTTGTTTTTGTTTTAGAGTTTATAAGAAAAAAGATGCCATATTCAATTACTCAGAGAATTTTTGACCATAATGTGGAAGATTTTTTGGGAGGTTGGATAGACAATAGAGTACGAGCGCTAATTTTTGAACCGAGAAATAAAACGAGACTTCGGTATTTAATAAGTGCATACTCGTTCCAGTATAGAGTTGCGTTTGGGTAAGTTGTTACCGCCGTCATTAAAAAATTAAAGAATAGATTTTCCGTTTTTAATATTTAAATTTTTTTTTTATTACCTAATTTCATGTTAGCTTTTTTTTAGACATGTCCGAGGAATGAGTTTTGGAATTAACGTTAACTTCGGTCAAAACGAAAATATATACATACATGTATATATATACTTGTAAGTTTCTGATCTGAAAAAATTGTTCTTAGATTTTACCGTTGCTTTCACAATTATCCAAGTCAAATTTGGATATACATAGTTAATAGATTTTCATACAAGCACTTCAGTTTGTATGGTAGCTACATGTATTCTGTAATAGTCCCATATTGGCGGTTCCGACAAATGATAAGCCAAATGCCTTTTTGAGAAGAAAAACGCTTGTGCAAAATTTTAAATCGATATCTTAAAACTCAGCACAGCTTTCTGCATATTGGACCAGACGATTTTTTCTGAACAGATTAATAAAAAAGAAATTTCTGCGTTTAGGCATGTTTTACTTGACCAGCACGTTAAGCTATTACCTTATTTTATATGGAAGACTTAGCCAATATAACTATATTGCCTTATCAAAAGTTATCTTAGCTTGTATGTTAAACTAGAGGCATTGTCAGTTGATTATTATTTTTCTTTCACAATAGTTGGGTTTTTGCAGTAAAATGTCGTTGGCAATACCGACAAACGTTACTTTGACAGATGAAAATGTAAACAAATCAAATTTACAAATTATTGTAGATGAGATTTGGGTTAAAATGAAGACAATTAAAATTTTTGTTTTCAGTTTTTTGTAAACTTGATTTATTTGTAAGGTATTTTAATAATTCGTTTACAAATTTAAAAATTCAAACTAATCTTCTCTTCATGTCAGACATTTTGAATATCAGTTGACTGTTCCTGTCCGCATTGCCAACACAATACGAAAATGTTAAATAAGCTAACATAAGTGCGTTTTATTTGTCAACGATTTAGCTATTAGCTTATAACGATCAAATAAAACACGCTTGTTATTAATTATAGTATGTATGTTACGGGAAAAGTAAAAATATGGGCTTCGTCCATGTTTTCTTCTTATGGGGGGCGATACATGTAAACGTCTGAATTTTGACCAATTTTTGGGGGCTTATTTGAAATGGAAAAAATTAATGAATGATAATAAAACTCAGCATGTTTACTAAGTACAAATTAAAATATGAAAATCCGATTTTTGAAATTTTTTTTAAAATGGCCGTCGTGGCAATCGACCGATCTCTTGAGACTGAGACCCCGCGGCAAAAGGCATCAATTGGCGGGATTTTTAGCTTCAGTTTCAGTCAAAAAACAAAAAGGTTGGATCTTGTTCATGAAACATGTAGCTTCTAGTTATACCAAAAAAAAATCAAAAACTGGTACGCCTCAAACCAAAAAGTCAAAATTTTCATTCTTTTTTCCGACATTTTTTGGGTCAAAGGGTAGTTTTGAATTTTTTTGTGGCATTTTGGTGGTATAACTAAAAGCTAACACTACAAATAAAATGTGTGCCAATTTTCATAAGAATCGGTTGAGAATTTTCCGAGTTATCTAGCACACCAGTTTTAAAAAAGTCGTTTTGAGAAAAACGCGTTTAAAGTTTCGACCATGGACGAGCGTCGTGTTGAGACGGAACAATTAAATGCATTTTTTCTTAATAAATAATGCGATTTTCGTTCTAAAAATTCACAGGCGTAATTTTAAGATGTTAAACTAACTATTTATAAAAAAAAAACGTTTTATTTTTTATATTACATGTATCACCCCCATTATTGCATCAATATTTTTCTCTTGGGCTTATAGGGTTGATGCTATAAATGATCAAAATCGAATTTTCAACTAGAAGGAAACTTGAAGGAATTCACTACTATACTAATATGTTATACACTATACTATTTTAAAAAATATAGAATGTTTCATTTTTTATCATTTGTATTTATCTCACAGAATAATATAGGCAATTTAAATAAGATGAAAACTGGCTACGTTATCCCATGTTTTTTTTTAAATTTTCCCGTGACATATGTACATACTATAATTAATAACAATATTTCCAAGAAACTCAGTTTAAGAATTATTTATTTTAATTTCAAAGGCTGACTTCGAAAAAAGGGGAAATTAATTGTTTTTACTTATGATTCAATCTCTAGAAAAAAATTGGTTTGGTCCAATACCCAGCCGAGTGTTCTGCAGCGTAATTGAAATAAATCTTCTTAACAGACAGTTTGCAATTGTAGATGTCGCTCTTTTCGTTCTTCATGAATTAATATCATATTTCTATTTTTTACAGAATCGTTGACTTGAATGATAGCAGAAGTGAACAAATTCAGAAACGGTACAAAGTTAGTTCAAATCTCGATACACTGCTAATGTTTAATGAAGACTCGCGCAGACCACGAGCAAAGATTGCATTGCCTGAGATTCCGGTACAAACATTAAATGACATTATTTCTTCAAATCAATATCTTTCGTTACCTAGACTCTCATCACAACAAGTTATGGAAGGTAGGAGCGCATATATGTTCTGTTATTAAAATCTGAGTAAATTATTAAATAAGTAATGTAGAACTACGAACCGGTCAAAATCACCGGTTGCATCATTTATTTATACCATTTTCTTTTTATTCCTATTTATTATTTTAATGGAGTTAATCTGAGGACTGCCACGCGAAACTTTTTCCATTCCGAAATGTTTTTAATATTAACAAACAGTAGCTATATAAATATTATAGTATTCTTATTTTATATGTATTTGATTCATCACATCGACTTTAAATTAGCTGAAAAAATTAAAATATGGAGGAAAATTTTATGAATTTGTGTAAAATTTTTGGTAAATGTATATCTTTTTTACCAAAAAAATAGCAATACGGGAGTCCTGCTTTAATCAGCTAAAATGAAAATCAGTGTTTAATGTCTTCTGAATGGAAATAAAAGTAGAATTGTTTATACTTTTCTTCAAATATGTGCAAAAAAGGCAACAAATGCTGATGGGTAAAATATTAATATTTAATTTCTAAAACAATTTATCAAATCAATAAACACAAAGCAAATTTTTATAGGCAAATTATCACAACAATATACACCGGCACAAAAAATCAGCTGATTTGACGTTCAGTTTAATTCTAAAGTCGTTTATGCACTCGGGTTAACACCTACACACAGCTACATATTTAAACAAGTAAGTAAGGGCTAAGTTCGGATGTAACCGAAAATTTTATACTCTCGCAAAGTCAAATGGTATACTCGTTTGAGATTTCTTTGTGGATTGGCTGATATTTTCGGTAGAAGGTCAACTATAGGCACTGGGGTCCACATATTTGGTACTTAGGGGCTTGAACAGTTTCGGTTCGATTTAGACAATTTTTGGTCACAAGGTGGCATACCTTAAACGTATTATTCACGCAAAGTTTTACCCCGATAATATCATTGTTGCTTGATATGCATAGCGGAAAGTGAAAGAATCAGATGGAATTGAAAATGGTGTTATATGGGAAATAGGCGTGGTTGTAATCCGATTTCGCCCATTTTCGCACTATAATATAGAAATATGAAAATAAATAAATAAAGTATACCGAATTTTGTTGAAATTGGTTAAGCAGATCTCAAGATATGGGTGCCACGCCCACTGTCTAATTTTGAACGCGGTTCCTATAAAGTCATCTCATACCATCCCAGAGATAAAATTTAATATCTCTGGCGTGTTTCGTGCTTGATTTATCGCGCTTTTAGTAGTTTTTAACAGTATCGTTATATGGGGAGTGGGCGGAGTTGCCACCCGATTTCAACTATTTTCACACCGTCAATAGTGCTAAAAACATTTGCTTCCAGTGAATTTTGTTATTATAGCATTAGCGGTTTAGGAGATAAACCTATTAGAGGCGGGACCACGCCCACTTTAAAAAAAATTTTTTTTAAGTGCAGATGCCCCTCCCTAATGTGATCCTGTGTACCAAATAACATTCTTGTATCTTATTGCTTAGTTATGGCAATTACTTTGTTTTTGATTAATGGCGTTTTGTGGGCGTGGCAGTGGTCCGATTACGCCCATCTGCAATACCAACCGTCTCACGGTACCAAGAAACATGTCTACCAAGTTTCATAAAGATATCTCAATTTTTACTCAAGTTACAGCTTGCACGGACGGACAGACGGACAGACGGACGGACGGACAGACAGTCACCCGGATTTCAACTCGTCTCTTCATCCTGATCATTTATATATATATAACCCTATATCTAACTCAATTAGTGAGTGATTAGTTAGGTGATACAAACAACCGTTAGGTGAACAAAACTATTATACTCTGTAGCAACAATTCCCATAGACTATACTTTATATGGTGCTCAATCTGTGAGATATTTTTTTATAAAATTCATAATAATTTTTCTGTGTGCCGAAAATGAATAATGTCGGGTCAATACTTCTCCTATCTCCCATCTTTTATTTAAGGATTTTAACTTTCGGTTGACTTTATATAGTATAGGTATATCGATCTTAATGAAATGTTGCTTGTTTAATCCGCTGTAGAGCCTAAGCGGTTAGGTCTGCCAGCAATAGAACGTATAAATTTAAACACGTTCTTATTGAAACTGATATTTTCAAAACGGACGACTCGGACACGTTCGCATCCATTAGACTTTTGACTGTAGCTTCACAGTAATATTCCAACTTGTATAAAGCTTGATTGTTTATTGTTGTCGAATATTGTCTGTTAGTCTATAACTTCATTTTGCTTGTGCATATTTACTTGCATAATTCTTTCGAAATTGTTTGCAACGCACAATGATATTTGAGATGAGGTGACTCTACCTGAACCAAGTCACTACTGTGAGCGTACCGCTGGCTTTCTATAGAAATTTCTTAAAATATTATGGTTAATATTATTGCAAACATAAACATAAAGCGCCAACTTCAAAATTTTGTATAAAAAGTAAACTAAAACAATTTTGACAGTTGAGTAAAAACACGTCAAGTGGACCCCCCATTTTCCACTTGATCATCGAATTTGAATGTGAGTATTTTTTCGTAAAGTAGTCATTATGAGCAAGTAATCCCCCGCTAATTTTTTTTAACTTTTAATTTTAACAACAATTGTTTTTTAATTGAAAATTTTTATTACTTTTAGTTAAAAAATTAATAACTAGAAAACTGTTGGTTATTGTTTAATGAAATTTTCAGGAGTTTTAGTTCAAAACTTGTACTTTGAGAAAATATGTATGAATTTAAATAATTTTTTTTTCAAATTGTTAATTAACTTTTAAGTTAAGAAATGAAAATTTTAATAACTTCTCCCTCAAAAAATTAAAAAATTTTGTTTTAGTATTTTGCAATAAACATTAAAGTAACGAAATCCGCAAAAAAATTTGACTGATCGCGATTAGATTAAGCAAAAAAAAAAATTTTTATGACGTGCGGTCAGCGCTGCCGGTATAGCGGTTCGGCAACGCGACACTTAGAGTGTGTTGCATATTTCAACAAATGAAATATAATAAATTAAATATTTTTTCATAAATAAAAAAAACAAAGAAGTTAAATAATTGTTAAATTAATTCTTATAACTTATACGTATTGCTTTATTTCTTTTTTTTTAACTTTTTTGGTAACGATTTTAATGTCTTTGTCGAAAACTTTGCACTCGAGTGATGTATTATTAAGAGCTCTGTAATGATGATATTGGCGTGTATTTTTTATGGTTACACATCGGTCATAACGTAATTTAAACATCTTCTCATGGGAGTCATGATCTTCTTGAGAGCAAAAACCAAAGTTAATTTTTTTAAATGCATTCTTACCCCATTCAAATAATGAAGTTGCATTGGTTATGTGCTTATCGCTTTTCCGTTGAAGACTTGCACGAAAAGCTTGCCACTAAAAACTTCCTGCCAAACCATCACATGCTATTTTATCCGCTCTAAACTTATTTTTTAGAAATTTTATCAATTTAACGTAGTTTATATGTTTCATTTCTTCATTTTCTCTATAGTACACAACGTAAGGGTGAATTGTAGCCTGACTGGTATTCCAATGATGAGATTAGATGGCATTTTGAACAGTAAAAGTATAATTTTCAGAAAAATCAAGGCAAACGATAAATTCTCCATCCTCAACAGATTTTTTCTTATTTATTTCTTTTAACCGCAAAGGATTTAGTTCGAATATCATTTTATTTAAAACAAGAATTGTAATGTTAATTGGATGTTTTATAATGAATAGAAAAAAATATGGGGTTAAAAAATAATGGATTTTCAATACTTAAAGAATAGGACATTCCAGTTAAAAATTTGGCCTTGAAATATTAATAGCGGGTATTCAATACATTCTGGTGGATTAGGGAATTCCCGTCTTAAGTATATCTTTGAAACTATTAAGCGGGTAGGTATTATGCATATTGTTCTACCACATTCATGCTAATTCACTGCAAGCAAAATGTGAGACCATCATCCCAACATACAAATGAAATATGCAACACACTCTAAGTGTCGCGTTGCCGAACCAAGTGGAAAAGGGGGCGGGGGGGGGTCCACTTGACGTATTTTTACTCAGTTAAGTTGAGTTCAGGAGATTTTGATGTTTCGCAATTGAAAAAAGAGGGACGGTCAGATTGAAATCCTACCACAAAAATATGTGAACGGAGAGATTTGTTATCGCTGTTCAAGACCTCTAACAAAAATTGTGAAACAATGAAAACTACAGAAAACGTTGTGATGTCATGCCTCGAAGTAATAATTTTCAATTGAAGATGATAAAAATATTTATTAATTGAGAGCTAATACGTTTATTCACAGGCTACTTTATTTACAGGTTATTAATTTTACAGGTTACTAATTTTATTTAAGAAGTAATCAACTACGGTCGCCAAAGAATAAATGTTTTAGGTGGTACAGTGTATTATGTAATGTTAACACCAGCACATACCTGACACTTTCACCACTGAGATTAAATTAGTATCCAGAATAAATGGTTTTTGTCAGACGGTGTAAATTTAGGTATATAAAATAACTAAGGAAGGGCTAAGTTCGGATGTAACCGAATATTTTATACTCTCGCAAACTTACATAGTATATTCGTTTGAGACTTCTTTATATATTTTAATAATTAGAAGTAGGAACTGTTGCCTTAGTTATTTACTTTTCACTCACAGTGAAAATAATTAGAGCAATTTGTAAACTAAATTTACTCAAATTATGAGAAATCGTTCTTGTGCTATTTGTATACGCTTATAATTGATTTTATATAGAATGCATTACAACTGTATTGAGAAGTAGGAAAAGAAATCGTTTTTGAACAATGAATAACATTTTTTATTTATTATATCGATATTATTATACATGTTTAGCTTAAAAATAATAACATAACAACTTTAAAAATGATATAATATTATTATATTAATTTGTATATAATATTTACAATATTAAACATACATTTTGTAGAGATTCTTATATATCCAAATTATATTTCTTTTTCCTTATACTATTTAATTTCTATCTATATTTATTCAATAA